GATTAATACGTGTGGTTGACGTGAAGCGTTAAAAAAGTACAAGAAAGTTAGCTTCACTATTTTTGTATCTACACTATACCTGGAGAGACATAGGATGGTATAAATTCTTTGCATTTAGAAAGAGCAACAGCTCATTCAAGTATAACCATAGCCTCCTCTATACGGAGAAAGCCTGGCGCGTCGCGTGAAAAGACGGCCGCCGTAAATGGGAAAGGAGGGGCGGAGAAACGGGAGCGGAGAGAACCTTGTCCGCTAGCGCCACAAAAGAGCGAGCGGCCAAACGCAGAAACAATCTTTTTTTTTTTCTCTCTCTTTTCTTTTCGCTATCGTGGAGAGGAGAAACTCAACGTCCACCCTTTCCTGTTTCTCCCTGCGCCCTTTCGAATCGCCGCGCCCGTTTCTCCCGGAGTACGAAAACAACGGTGACGAAAACACAAAAACAAGCGTGGTTCGGGGAGCGGCCGCTCATGACCCAAGCGCTCGCTGTCTAGGTCTGCCCTTTCTGCTCTGCGCTACCATATTGGTCACCGTTCGGCGCGCTCCTCCTCTCCTTTTTCCTGCGGCCGCGCGCTCTATGGCTCCGTCGTCGATGTGCCAGGCTTTCTCCGTATAGAGGAGGCTATGGTATAACTCAAAAGCCTACAAATGACTACATTCTATTAAACACACCATTTTGACAAGTTTATGATCCTGCACAAATATCTACGAGTGGCTGCTGGTGAGTCTTGAGTTTTACTCTGATCGGCTCATCTAATAACAGCTTCAGGTATTGTGTTCAAAAGTATATTACCTTCGAAGTTTGTGTGCCAAATATAATCCCTCTAATTCACATTTTTATCTCGTGTTTTGGAGTGCTGAAGCTAAAAAGTAGTGTAGTCACTATGGGTTTTATGCAGAAAAAGTGTCGTGCTGTGATGATTATCCTTTGCGTACGTAAAGTCCGTGAAGAATATTTTGGACACTATATCAGCAGCAGTAGGGGACAACTCTCCTTATGTTCCACACTGCAAGGGTGTGTATGTCAATTTTGGAATGGTCAGTTCAATAACATTTCAGCACCGTACGGCGTGCGGTCGTATATCACTTCTGCGTGATGCACTTTTTCAAGACCCCAAGCTAGCAGTCGTAAAGCACTGGAAAATGCCTTTTTAACAGTTTAATCCAGGGTCGCCATACCTCAAAGGTAGTCTGCGTACGCTGCTTGCACACAGACGTCATATTTCTTTGTTATTTTCTCTTTTTTTTTCGTTTTTAGTATGCAGCAGGGAGAAGATGGGTGACTCGATTTTTGATCAGGCTATTTCAGCACCCTTTCAGCATTCCACTGGCGTGATGCCATGTATTACTAAAGAGCGATACACCTTTTGAAAATCCTTAGGTAGCAGTCGTACTGCGCATGCAAACTTTCGTATTACAGTATGAACAGCGTAAAGGAGTGCCGCCATACCTGAAATGTACAGCCATCCTACCTTGTTAAAGACAAACGACATATTTGTTTGTTCTGTCCCCCTTCCCCTCCTTTCTATGAAACATTGAATTAGTGGGTGTCTATATTTTTCACAGGTTATTTCAGTGCCGTTTTAACCTCGAACTGGCTTCGGGTCGTGCATGAATCCCTACTGCGCGATGCACTTTTTTTTTAAAACACCAGGCTTATAATCGTACCGCACTAGTAAACTTTTTTATCTGCAGCGCAAACCAGCGTCTTCATATCTCAAATGTAGACCGACCCTGAGCTGTCTAAACACTAAGCGTCACTGTTATTAACACTTTTCTTTCCTTTATATGCAACTGGGAAAAGTTGGGTGGCTCAATTTCGGACAGGTTTTTTTTTGCACCATTTCAGCATCGTACTGGCGTACGGTCTTGTATCATTACTGCGCAATGCACTTTTTAAGGAACCCATGCTTATGGTCGTACTGCACTGGCAAAATTACTGATTTGCATCGTCGTAGCTCAAAGGTAGACCGACCCTACTTTGTTGAAATGCAAACGTCCTATTCGTTTGTTAATTCTTTTTCCACTTTATGTTCAACACTGAACATGTGGGTGGCTCAATTTGGACATGGTATTTTGCCACCATCAATGAAAAAGAAAAAAACACGCCCCAAAAGACCTGTGGAGGTGACTCCTAGAAAAATATGGACAACCTTCAAAAAATCTATTTAACAAGAGGATATGAACTGAATGCATAGTAGGGACCCTAGACATATTTTTACGATTGGAAAATGGTGGACGAACGTAGCACTCAAAATGCACATTGAATGACGGGAACGTATGCCTACAAACTTAAAGAGAAAGGTGCACGCATCTTGCATCGGAGACGAAAGGATGATTGTCCCGAAGCAGCGCGTTACCGCTGCTTCTTGCAGGTGGTACTTTCAGAAATGTTTGGAAACAGAAAAGACTATGGCAGCCGAGAATAAGCTGCAAATTTTCACAAAAGCAAAATATTATAGAATAAAAAGCAGATTCGAGAGGGATTTCAGCCCCGTTCCTCCGCGTGGCAGCCGTCCGCGTGCCAACTCCGCCACGCACGCGGCGATATCACGAGAACACATGAGCTACATACTGACTAATTTACAGGGCATGAATCAGGTTTCTACCAAATGGGTCTCAAAACGCCTCAATGCTCACCAGAAACGTGAATGTGTCACACCTTCTGAAGTCATTTTTTGGCATTTTGATATAGATGAAGAAAAAAAGAATTTGCACCCAAGTCGGGAAGAGAAAAATATCTGCATGGCAAGCTGATGGCATCCGTGTTTTGGGTCAACAAAAATATTGTATTCGTTGACTTTCTAGAAGCGAGTACCGTGGTCACAGCAACTTATTATGCATTACTGTCGGGCACAGTAAGGCAGGATTTGGGGAAGAAACAACATCATGGGCGGTTCTCGTAGTGGGTGCTGTGTTTTGCAGACAATGCCGCAGCAAACAAAGCCTCCATCACAATGCAGACACTGACAGATATAGAAATATAAATTGTGCAACGTTCCCTTACTCCCTAGATTTAGTGGAGACACTCGAAGGGCCAGAATTTTTATGCTCATAGAACTGTGATAGCTGCCGGAAACCATTGATGTCATGTCTATTATCAGTCTTTTTATTGGAGGGCCTACAACATTTGAAGGACCCATGGCAAAGTTGCATTCACATTTGCGGAGATTCTGTTAACTAATCTGCAAGTTCCACTCCTGCAAATATTTTGTTTAATAGAGTTTAAAAATTATCAGCACTTCTTTTAAACACGTTTTTGCGAACACCACGCCCCCTTCGTGCTTGCTACGCCGTGCTGTTTAGACGTTGCCCTACTTTGGTGAGTGCTCTTCTTTCACTGTACCGTTTTCACTCTCCATTGTTTTTGATGCTGTGGTGTTTTGTGACCATGCTGTTAAGGCGTGTGCTGTTTTGTCATGTGTTCAGCCGCTTTTCCGTGTATGCACATGTGTTCACTACTGATAAAGACTCTGGGATAACAGTGGCACTGCAGTGGTAAATATTTCATCGACAACCTCAGCTACAGTCGAAAGGCCGACCTCACGCTGTACACACGTGATGTCTCAGTCATTTCACGTTTTATGCCCCCCCCCCCCCCCAAAAAAAAAAAAAGTTAATTAATGAAACGAAGAAAGTAGTTGTATTCGATTGTCCTCAAAAACAGGATAAGTACCGCGCTACTTTTAAGATAGCTTTGCCAAAGGAGGGCGAGACAGGTTGTGTTGCTTTAAACACGTTAAACATCTCATTTTGTACGTAAACATAAAAATAGCAAACTTTAAAAAAACGCACGGGTTTGCATGGAGAATTAGCGAAAATCGCTTCACAAAACTAAGTCCAGCGTACAATTAAGAGGGCACTTGTGAGCGGGCCCCTTGAGCCAGCAAGAGAGAAGGCACCAAACAGAGCAATGTGTAGAATGGCAACTGTGAGAGGCCCTGTTGGGGAACTATATAAAAAGAGCCTTTCATTTTGACCCGCGTATTTTTTAACCGCAAATTAAAAAAAAATGCCTGTGTTGTTTTTTAATTGTTTTGAACAAAAAGGCTTTCCCTGTGTAGTCTAAAACGCGACTTTGCTACCATTCTCGATACCTCAACATCCAGTTAGTTTCGGTTGTGCAGTCTCAGTCGAAGCACCCTCAAAGGCAAAATTCATTTAATGTCACGCGGCTAAAGAGGTGCATTCGGGTTCCAGTAGTATTTCCCTCTGTCCAGTTTAAGACAGGAAGTCATCAGCAGGTTTACATCCCATAAGACAGCCAGACGTGCAATCGAAGAACACAACCCAGATAAGGCAAGGCCTGCATTCCCACTGCCAAGCACCACAAACCGGTTAAATGCGGTAATTCAGTTCGCCTGGAATTTGGGTGTTTCCTTCATTTTCGTCCGGGGGCGAATTTAGAGGGGGGAGGGGGGGGGGGGGGGTCCGGATGTCCTGACCCCCCTCTTGATTTCTGCATGTGCAAAAATTTTGGGGCGTGGAAACGGGGGAGGGGAGGGAGTTCCTAAACATATGGTACGCTGACCAACACCTGACCCCCCCCCCCCCCCCCCCCCCTTTTCCTGGAAATTCCTGCATCCGCCCCTGTTTGCGTCCTTAGTTCCAATAAGTCCGACGGACACAGTTCAGCTTCCAAAGAATGCGGAAAACATGAACAGGCCATTGACTCATCTAGGTTGCGTCGACCTCGGACGGTGCCTGTGGGCATGCCTTTGCCAGGACAGCAGCATTACTACTGGTGACGGCACGAAATGGGCCAAAACCCTCGTGCACTAGTCAAGAAAAATGCTGAGCAGTTTTCGCCCGTAAATAGTTGGAACTCGTGAATTCAGAAACAGAAACTTTATGTTTCGCACCTTTTACAGAATCTGTTCGAGCCCACCACTCTGATTTCCACGCTCTTACGCATCGAGTGGCGGCGTGCCCACAGACGCCGCTTGATGCGGCACCGCCGTCCACACTGAGAGCGTCTCCTCACGGAGGCGAAGCGGTCGTACCCTCCTCGCAGTTGGCATGAAGCGGGAAGTCGCACTTTCCGGTGACCTTGTTGAAGTGCAGGCCCGGCGGGCAGTCGAGCTTCATGCCGAAGCCTCCGCTGCACACCTTGTACTTGGTGCAGTCGTCCGGGTCCGCGATGTAGAGCGGCTCGAAGCCGTCCGACTCTGGACAGGACGGCTCGGTGGGGAGACCGCCCGAGTCGGCCGGCGCAGCGCCGGCCGCGTCGGCCGAGGGAGCGCCACCTTTGGCGCCGCCTTGAAAGTCACCGAGGAAGCTGCCCCATCCGGCAGGAGCACCAACGAAGGCGAACGCCATGACCGCGGGGAGCATGGCCATCATGCAGGCGACCAGCAGGAGTGCCACCTTCATCTTCGATTGCCCGGGCTGTTCAGAAATAAGCTGAATATGATCCACAATGTCCGTAAATGACAATCGCACGTTTGTATTTTGAGCCTGATGGCTGTATTTTTCGTTATAAACGGCCCCCTCTGGCAAGCGCTCGGAGAGCCGCCAGCGGAGAGCACATCATATCCGGTGCAATCGTGATGTAGTTTGTCTCGGGATGAGCAAAGCTGCGGCGCGGCTGACATTGTCAGGATGCCGCAGCCGTTGCAGCCGCCGAAGCGGTCGAGGAACGCCAGCGCGATCGGGCCACCGCAACTAACCGAAAAGTGCTTTTGTGTGAATTTTGAGTGACGAATTAATCTTCTATCATTTGGTAGAGGGAAAATAGCGACGTCTGGGGCACACAAAAGAGAGTCCCGTTGAGTGGGGAGTTCCTCCCCCCTCCCCCTCTTCTCCTGTGCTGGCCAGAGAGCTGTCGGGATGACGTCAGGTTCAAACCATGTATAGTTCTAGGCGAGGCAGTTATCGTCACTACCTATCGAAGGTTTCTAGACGGGCACTACAAACGAGGCTTTCGCGGCATCCACCAGGTGCTCTTCGCTAATCGTTTAATTTGTTTTAAAAAATGTTTGTGTTCTTTCTAACAAGATATTGGCGTGTCCGATGTGATACTGCTTCTTTGAACACGTATAGACCAAAAAATAGGCGCCGAAATTTTGTCGTAGAATCCCTTTAAAGGCAGCATACGCTACATTTATTTCTTCCTTCTATAAAGCTTCGGCATATTGTGAGCCTGGAGTGCACACGCGACGCCATAGCACGGCAAAAAGGCAGGGAGCTCGTGCTAAAGGTCGGGGGTTCAAGAGAGACGCACTGACGCTCTCGACAAGGCCTATAGACCACTGATCTCTGTTGTAGTAGGCTGGATCGCGGATCGAGGCTTGTCTCGCTAGGGCTGAGTGGCACCACCGGAAGCCATCATTTGACACCAGTTAATGCATAGGACTCTATGGGAGAAACGGGAAAAAGTGACATTTCCCCCGCTTCTAAGCTGTGGTCGGCACTGAAACTTTTTGGCTGCTGTTCAGGAAGCCAGCCAAATACCTTCCGCACAAACACCAAACTGAGAGCCCTCGCAGTTCTTATAAATAAATGTTTTGTGATCGAGAGTGACTTCGCTGGGCGAGAAATGTAGTGCAGCTCAGTGAGACGAGAGTCACCTAGAGTTACCGCGGAGTCGGTGGCGGTTTCCACAAGTTGGGTTTAGCAGACGACAACCTTGAGGGCTTTGCTACGCGGAATTCGCTCACTCCCGGAGAGCCGCTATCCACATGGAACTTTTCTGACATTCATCAACTTCTGGGCTTTCCCGTGGACGATCTTATTGACGGCAAGTTCCTTTGTTTACTCCACTACGAGAGCAAACCTGCCAACTCAGCCGTGGGTGCTCAGGCACGTTTGATTTTCTTAATCGACGAATACTGATTCGATCTCCAAACACCCGATATAATGATCGCAGCACATATAAAATACTCGCATTTGAGCACAGCGAACAGGCTTCAATATTCTTAACTTTTGTTTGTTTCTCCCATAGACCAGCGTGTATTGCCCGGTGTCAAGAAATGGCCGTCGGTGATGCCACCGACGGGCTCCCGATTCGCGATCCAGCCTACTACAATAGAGATCAGTGCTATAGACGATTGCAAGCTTGGCTGGCCGCCGCCACGGCTCCGCTCGTGCGGGAAAGCCCGTAGAATTACAAGCTTGTAAGAGATATATGCTCACGCCCACGCTGCACGAGCTTGCACTAACGGTGCACCAGTCGGGGCACCATGCTTGCAATTGTCTATACACGATTTCAATATATACAAGTCAGCCCAGCGTGTCATCTCCTCGGCCCAGCACGCGCATGTTCGTTGCTTCGGAAAGCGAGCAAATCACGCGCCATACGCACAAACAGTGAGAGTGTCGCCTGTCAGAAGCCTCTTTCTGGAATGGTCGATTCGCGGGGAGAAGCTCGCTAGGGGCGCTTCTTTTTTTTTTCCCCGAGGGCTTTACCTCACGATGGGTAGGGCACGGGCTACCAACGCGGTTATCTTTTCATTTTCATTGAGCAAACAGCTTTTCATTGCGCCTGTTTGCACCTGCAGCAGAGGAAATTCAAGTATCCTCACTCTTGGTTGTGAAGAAATTCCACCAGGCGGCGATGCCCAAACTTCTAGCCGCAAATAGGGCAATAAGGCGCTGCTTCCATTCAAACCCACATGAGGTGTGGCATAGCCTCCTATATACTGACCAAACCTAGCAAATTGCCGCGAGAAGCGGCCGCCGAAATGGAAAAGGTAAAGCGGCAGACAGAGGATGAGAGGAGAGCCACGTGACTGGCGCCCAGCTGCGGCCAGACGTCGAAACACACTTCTCCCGAGCGAACGAGTGTGTTTCGGCTCCTCGTCGCTGCAAAAGCTGTGCGCTGACGTCCAGGTTCCCCGAGAAATGGCTCTTTGATGCTCTGTGCTACCAGATCTTCGCGCTTCAAATCTGCGACCGGGCGCTCTATGGCTCTGTCCTCAAACTGCCAGGCTTTGTGAGCATAAAAGAAGCTAATGGTGTGGGCACTGCGCACGACCAGGAAGCAGACTTGCGTGAAGTGGAGCGTTCGCGCGTGCGCCCTGCCGATAGCAGCGCCACCGCAGTTGCCTGACGTCACGCCGCGTGTTGGTGACGCAGTACCATCTAGAAGCCGCGGGTTGGCTGTAGCAGTACCATTTCCCACGCAGCGCCACCTACCTTGCGCCAGCATCATCGGCAGCGCGTATTGCAGCGTCTCATAACGAGTGAAACGTTAGCACGCAGACAGGCCGAACCGGGAGCGTCTGCTTTTCATCGAGGTTCAGCGCCTGTTTGCTCCTTGGGCCGGCTCAAGGATCTACTAACGATGGCGTCATGCGTGGGCCGTATCTTCCAGGTGCTATTGGCGACACCTCGTTGTTGCCTATGCGTGCGCACGACCGTCCAATCAGGCGAACTTGCACATCGTGTAGCTAGACCTCAGAAAGTCCGTGGCGAATCCGAAGAACACCAATTTCAGTTCCGGCGCACCGGAGAGGCTCGTCGTATAAACGCAGATACGTATGAGGCACGCGAGCGGAAGGGAGAGCGGACGCGAAAATGGCCCGAAAATTCTCATAATCATGCTCAGAGGCGGCGCAGAAATGACAACGGCACCACAATAAAGAGTTTTGGTATTGTTTATAGCCGTCCTTTTATTTTTTTACAAACACGAACCACCGCTTGAGCTCCAAGCGACTTCCAGTCGCTCCGTCTTTGTAATACTATCGAGCTTGCTTACGCCGCCACTGCTAGACGGCATAAATTCTACATGGACAACAAAGTTGGAGATTTAACGAGGGCCTTCAGCTGTACAATTTAACGTCTTGGAGGAGACAAATTGGTTTACAATAAGATTCGGAATATCTGAACAGATCTCGCGCTTCTTCGTTTTTTTGCTGTCCACCTGATGATTTGAACCTTTCTCAAATTCAGCGCCATCTAGTGGATGGAATATCATTCCGAATTGTTGTATGCTGATGGCGTATAAAATCGGGTACCTATTCATCAAATGTAGACATACGAAAATTACGGTGTTTTTCGCTGAACAGCTATTTCTCTGTCGGCTTCAGTTTCGACGGTGTCAAGAAACTTCCACCCCATATGAGGCGCTTGTGATTGAGTAAACCTCCTGATAAAATAACATTTTATTGTCATGCGCTGTTGCCGAAGCCGAGTATTCCAAGGACTTACAGGGCACCCCTAAATGCGTAACAGCTTATATTATAAGTCTTGTCGCGGTGACATCGAACAACAATACAACGTACTAACGTCTGTATGCTCAGTCTCCGCATCGGTCTTCAAATTCTTCCTTCACCAGCCATCACAAGGCCGCCATTAGTATGTTCAGATGATAGACACTTAGGTGAGACACTTAGGTGAGACTGCCAGACTGCATTTCGGAAAGTGTCTATTGATGGCAAAACGTTTCATTGGCATTTCAAGCAGCGGTGTTAAGGTAGGCTTTGTTCATTCGTTTTTATGAACCAGAGGTTCCCTGGGACGTCAACATGAACGCGCTGTTTAGAGCGCATGCTCAGAACGAGCTCACATCAATAGGAAACTAAGACCGGCAACCTTGATAATGTGGGATGCACGTTGCAAAAACTGGAAGCTCGCCATCAGCACGTGCTCAGCAGTTGCGCTCATGGTGATATGGTCGCCAGTGAACATAGAGTTATTATAATGTACGCTAGAGGTTCAACTGGCGCTAGTGTGCTGCTGCAATCTGAAGTAGACAGCAACCAGTCGGAAATTGACTTGGGGTAATGCATTTCTCTGGGAAAAAGCGAGTGCATTTTATCTCCGCGCTCGATATAGAGCAAATATCACGAATAATTCGTACGTACCAGGCACATTGGAACATTTCTCAGTCACGCAGAAGAAATAATTGGTCAGTTACGGCGTTTTTTATGTAAATACGAAGCATGAAAAACGGTGTTAAAACCGCTTCGTACATGTATTTATGTGCACTGTCGGACACTGTTCGCGCGAACACCGCGTCGGCGATTTCTAGCATGGGGGATATACGTGTCAAACGAACGAAGGACACGTGGTAACTATGAGAGAAGGCAAGAACTACGCAGAAACACTGGATAAGTAACTCCTTGTGCATTCAGACGATCAAAATTAATTGAAAGACACATAATATTGTCCGACTTACAATAAATAAGTACTGCTTTATTCTCTCTGCTCATGATTATGTGCAAAGATGCTTGTTCTGGATTCAAATCATCACCCGCACGCTCCACATCTTTGCAAATAGGAAGAAGCCAGAGAACATGTGCCCTATAAAAACTGCCCGACACAGAAAATAATAAAAACATAACCTTTTGTAGAGCCGACGTACTTTATTTTTTATGTCCAAATGTTTTTTTTTTTCTTTTGAACTGATCGTATAGATGCGCACGACGGAGTCATTTTCATATAATGACAGGACGGGCATATTAGCGATATATAAGCGCCACCGGAATGCTGGCGAACCTTGAACACACTCTACATTTGTTTCGATCGTTAGTTTGCTTAGAATCGCCGCTCGTTTTTACATACCTGCCATGGTACAGAGGTTTGGGCCTGAAATATAGCGAAGTTTAACATCCTTCAGTGGTAAAGAAAAATGCTGTGACTAAAGCAATGACACTTTCAGAATATTAATAAAGGTACATACTATAGGGTGCAACCGGAAAAACATAGTTATTCATGTTATGTTCGGGCGAAAAGACAGAATGCACGCGCGTTCTCGCATAGGAATGCACTGGGGCACCGCAAAAGTAGACTGGTTGCCGTCTGCTCCAATTTGCCTCCCGGAAGTCGCATAGACATTAGCGCCAGTTGAACCTCTGGCGTACATTATTAGAACCCTATGCGAGTGAATACTCCCTATACTTCGTCTCCCCTTAGCATGGACTATTGTTAGCCGCGCACGCTAAAAGCGCGCGCTAGTTGCTTTGGATGAAGCCTCAGCGGCTGCACAAGCGCTCCTGAGGCTGGTGCTCCATTCAAGGCAGTCAAGCTATCCGCTCGCGCTTGCACAGCCTTCGCAGTTAGTTCATGCTGACGTGAGGTGAAGTATATAAATGCAAGTGCTCTGCGTCTGCGTTAACGTTGCGTGCTCCGTGTTGCGCATGCGCGTAGTCGCCATGCGCAAATCCAAGACCGCAATATGGGCTCCGCGCACACACAGTGTGGAACATGCGGGACAAACGCAACGCATAGTGCTTGCGTTCGTTCAAATACGCAATACTAAACTCACCAATTATAGCGATTTACGCAAACGGCGAGATGCTGTGTCTGTGACACATATTACGCCAAAACGTAAATGCACTCGATTTTTTTTTTTTTTTGTGTGTATATTGGCGTTGCAAGCGTGAGATGCTTGGGCCTTCTGTCGCAGTGAATATATGCTCTTTTAAAGCTCTCTCGTGTAACGTACACTTACGCAAGCGCTAAATTTAGCACGAACTTTTACTAAGATCACCTACGTTATTCTCGCGGTTTCAGTAATGACTTTTAATGCCCACCGTATGATTGAACCCGAACCTTAAGTACCTGCCAACGCAATTATCTAACCGCTGTACTCGCGGCCAATACGTTCTGACTGACTAAAGTAGGGTGTCTGATTAAACTATGCCTTAATATGGCGTTATAGGCACACTGGTTACTATATGACACCTATATTTGTAAAGAATTTATCAGCTAGTTTTGTCGAATTCAATGTAGTTTTGTAGTTCAGGTTAATTGAGAGCTGCTCCGTGAGCGTGATCAGGTGACTAACCCACCTTATGCGACATGATGTAAAGAGGTGAGCTAGCAGGATCAGCAGTACGTACCTTTGTTGCGAAATACGAGAAACAGTCCGGTCAATCTTGTCCTCTCAACAGAGGCTCCACTGAGGTACGAAGAGGGCCTAGTAGTGTTGTCACCTTTTGTTATCGGCGGTGATGGCGCGACCATCAGATTACCCCAATAGAAGCCACCGATGACGTCGTGCACAACGGTGTAACCGCCAGAGGCAGCAGCGGGACACTCATTGGCTCCTTTCCCCTCCGTTTGCTGTAATCGCTGAAAGATGACCAATCGGAGACTTGCACTCGTACAACGACTCTGCGCCTCTCCTACGTCAAATGGAGAAATGAGTTTGTTTGGGAGCCCTCAGACATTCCCGCGTGTCTCCGCCCGCTTATCGACCCGAGCCGGACGGCTTTAGGGCAGATGCCATAAAAGAAGACGCTTTCCACTCGGTTACGTCGCCGGAAGCTGGAAAGCAAATACCCTAAACGAAGACTATTTCCACTAGGGAGCATCTTTTATTGTCGCAGCTCTCGTCGTCCCCTCATTTTTGTCCCAGAAAAAATGAATCCAGCGACCGAGTCAGGGGCACGAGCGCCCGGTTTTCGAAAGCGCTTTCTCTGTGCGAGTGCTTGTGCGAGCGAAGGATTCCTTCAGAACTACGCTTTGTCAATTGTCGTCCTGTTCTTTTCTGTTCCTTCAACTTATTTGTTCACTTCTGCCCCAGTCTCAGGTTATTCAACATGGTCTATTCCCGCAGCGTACTCAGAACAGGCAATTTGGCACATTTCTCGCTCGTAGATGCAAAGCGCTCTTTCCACCTCAACGTGAAGGCGAAGCCGATCCACCTCTCCACGCGCCCGAAACGCCGAGAAAGAAGACAGGTGGAAAGGAGGTGACTACCGACTAAATCGTGTCTCGCGCCGTCAATGTTGCTCTAACTTATCTTTTTCTTTTTCTTTTTTTTTTCCCCAAGCGCGTTTCAACCAGATTGTTTAAATTAGTTTTTTTTTTCAAAGGCCCTTTAAAAAGGGAATGGTCAGCGTTGAGCGTTTCCAAGGGTCATGCTATCGCAATCCTTAATAATCCACGGTCCACCAATTGATCTTCCTGTATTTGTGTCTTAATATATTTGATTGCGTTCTTACTTGTGATGAAAGACGGCATAGTTGTTGAACTTCTGGGAAAATGTTGTACATTTCAACAAAAAATGAAAGACGTTTACAATTCTCTGTAATTCCGAATTAGAACGCAGCTCTTGAGGAGGAGGAGGAGAGGGTGTGCAGCAACTGATCTCTACTATAGGGAGTATTCACTGGCGGCCATATCCGTGTGCGCCAGGGGGGTAAAGGTGGGTGAGGAGGAGTGGCAAATCCCGTGCGCCGACACCCGGGGTCCCGAGTGAACGACCGCAAAAGAGAGCGACAGAACACGAGAGAAAGAAAGCAACGTTGCCATGGTAAACGCGAAGAGTGAAAACTCTCAGCAATATAAACAATGATAATTTAACGTTGTAAACTAAATTCTGAGCTATTCTAACGCTTATAAAAAGCAATAAAGTCATTACGCTGCATTAACTTCCCTTCTGTCGAAATCTCGGAAATCTGGTGGTTGCGCAGTTTCGTATTCCTCAAGCGCGCCCACCCGCGCCCCACCGGCGAAGCCGTGTATATGGTTTAGTTTAGCGTTAACGCGAGGCCGTACATCTGCGCGCTATGCGAAAAGAAAGCTTCGAAAGGAACGCGAATATCTTTCCACCGGTAAGTTCGTGGATTGTTGAAGTTCACGAAACTGCTCTGATGATGTAACCGTGTTTGGGACCCCGAGGGTCTGCCTGCATGATCCGCCGCTTGCGGCAGCCACAATGTATGGGAAAATGGCGGACCTTTTCCTCTAGAGTTAGTATGTATGATCTCTATGGTGTGCGCTGCTGCTGAGCTCGTGCTGACGGCGAGCTTCCGGAGTCCTTTTGGAGCGTGCATTTAGCACCATCAAGGTTGCCGGTCTTAGCAGGCTATTAATGTGAGCTCGCTCTGAGCATGCGCTCTAAACATCGCCCTCAAATATGGCGTCCAGTGAATACCTCCTATAGTGGGCTGGATGGCGCTTAGCTGCTCTCCGAGCCTGGCGCAAGTGAAGCCACCAGAAGTTCGATGCTTGTCCCGGAAGTCGGGCGTGCGCTGGGCTTCCTAGTGGACTCAGTCAATATTTTGGACCATACTTTTTTGTGTCTTTGATTGGGTTATAATACTCCTGTTCTGGATTAAATCCCTAGAATGAGGCATTTGAACTTGGGACATATTCACACTCGATTAACTAGAATCTCAAAATGTTTAAATTGAATGGCTTCCCATGATACTTCTGGGGTCTGCATGCGCTCTTCCTGCGCAACAAGCAGGCTCTCTTGAGGAAACAAGCGAAAATCCAGCGCCCTCGACGCTTTTCGAAACAGCACTCGGAAAGGTTACAAAGCCTGCCAAGCGCTCACTTCCGGAACAAGCCGCTTACTTCCGGTGGCTTCGTACCTGTTCGTTCAATGCGCCATCTAGCCCCGTCTAGTGGAGATCAGTGTGTGCAGCTCCTCCCTCTCCTTACCCTCCCATCCTCCTCTCCTGCTCGCCTCCCATTTAAAGGAAAACTTTCGCAAATATCCCGCTAAATTTAGTGGGAAATATTTTTCGCTAAAACATTTTCCACCAGGTTTAGTGGGAAAATGTTTTCGCTAAATTCAGCGGGGAAACTTTTCTGCTAAATTTAGCGGGAACAATTTCTCGCAACATTTAGCACGTTTTTTTCCTCTAAATTTAGCGGATAATTCTTTCCCCTAAATTTAGCGGGAAAGCTTTTCTGGTAAATTTAACGGGTTATTTTTTGTGCTAGATTTAGCGGGGAAAGTTTTTCGCAAAATTTAGCGGGGAAGTTTTATCGCTATTTAGCGGGGAAATTTTCCCATAATGCAACGCGCAATTACGCCTGCTTGCATTATTCTCATACTGCACGCGCGCGGTTACGCCGATGCCGACGGCGACGGCGACGCCGCTAAGCCGGAAACAGGCGCCTAAGAGCTGCGCTCTAAAAGTAGCACGCGGTGATGCGAATGAAAAAAAGAAAGAAAGGCATTTACAATTTTCTGTAATACCGAATTAGAGCGCAGCTCTTGAGGAGGAGGAGGAAGGGAGGGTCACGTGTGAGGTGACGTGAAGCGTGTGACGTCACAGGGGTAAAATTTTCCCACTAAATTTGGCGGGAAATGTCTCCGCTAAATTTAGCGGGGATATCTTCCTGCTAAATTTAGCAGAAAAATTTTCCCTCAAAAAATTTAGCGCACAGATTTTCCCGAGTTGAATGCGTCACGTGTAACGTCACGAGGGTAAAATTTTCATGCTAAGTTTAGCGGAAAACTTTCCCACCAAATTTAGCGGGACACTTTTGCCTTCATGACGTCACACATGATGTCACGTGTGACGTCATTTTGGGAAACGTCCCAGATTGCAACGCGCGGTTACGCCGACGACAAAGGCGACGGCGACGCCGCTCAAGCCGGAGACGGGCGCTTAAAAGCTGCGCTCTAAAAAAAATACACGTAAATTAGAGCAGTTGTAACATTTATCTTTAAGAGCGCAGCTCTTAGGCGTCGTTTTCGGGTTTCGCGGCGTTGCCGTCGGCGTCGGCGTAACAACGCTAAATTTAGCAGGAAAATAAACGTCACGTGACCTCAGCACCAATTCGATTCCCCGCCAAAGTTAGCGGGAAAACTGACGTCACGTGACCCCATACCCAATTCAGTTTCCCCCCTTAATTCAGCGGGGGAAAGGACGTCGCATGACTTGGTGTCACGTCACCTACGAACTAATTCAGTTTTCTCCTAGATTCAGCGGGAAACGTGACGTCACGTCACCTCAACAGCGTTTGATTCCCCGCTAATTTAGCGGGGAACTGAACTGCTGTTGAGGTCACGTGGCATCAATTTTTCAGCTACATTCAGTGGGGAAACTGGGGGAGGAGGTGAGGGTACCCGAAGGAAAAATCCATCAATGTAACGCTGTTTGGCAGTCAATGTTTTCTAGTGGACCGCTGACTGTGCCTGACTGTACGTCATGCATGCATGACGTACAGTCAAGACAGAAAGCCGACAAGCGGAGTCTGACTGGAGTTTGACTGTCGGTCAGAGTAACTTGTTGGCCAATCAGACATGCATGTCTGATTGGCCAACAAGTTACTCTGACCGACAGTCAAACTCCAGTCAGACTCCGCTTGTCGGCTTTCTGATGGTTTCCTGATGGCAGCCGGCCGCCGCGAAATGCCATCAGGATCTCCTGGTGGTGATTCTGACTGTACATCGATTGTCTCTGACTGTACGTCAAAAAGCTTTGACGTGCAGACAGACGTACGGTCAAAGGACGTAAAGTTCGTTCGGATACCACTATTTCGTCAAATCTATGAATACAAAAAGCAATCTATGCACAAGAAAACGATTTCGGGACGTGAGCCCATAAAACCGCTGACGTTAGAGATATGACACGCAGCAGACCGACAACCTTGGTCAGAAGCCCGCCGAAGCGCCGAACACGACACTTCGCCGACTTCGCTTCGCCCATAGAGACGTCGCCGAGCTTTCATGAACGATCGCTCTCGACTCGTTTTGTTTGCCCGCTTGCTTTAACCTGTCGATCCTGCCCGGGCTCTACAATGTCTTATGTTTTAGTAGAATTTCTACTCGACAAGACCCAGCCTATTCTGAGTTCCGACGATGTAAGGGACTTTAGCGGTGTAGTTGAAGACGACAAGGTGTACCAGGTCTACTGGGCCGGTGACGCGCGAACAAAAGGATCGCTCTACGACGCGAAAGTACTCTACATGGCAGGTGAGTAGAACTGAAGTACGGCGAGTGATGTACGAGTGCTTTGCATAACACGCTGACGACTTAACTGCATTTGTAGCCGAAGCATCTCGTATAAATCGAATAGTCAAATCGAGTTTCCAAAGCGGAGGCATAGCATAGTGGTTAAGATGCCCGATTTGTATGCAAGTGGTCGCGGGTTTGATGCGCGGTGGACCAGGTTTTTTTTTTTTTTTTTTGAACATTTTGTTTTATTGAGGCATTTGGCCATATTTATGAGTGCGTATAGCTTTACTCTTATATAAATGCTGCCCTTGTTGATGAAATTCCCTTGGCAGTGGCAGTCAGACGTCATCTGATGGACTATCAGATGACGTCTGATGGTCCATCACGTTCCACCAAGGCTGCTGACTGGCAGTCAGTGTCCCAAATTACGTACCTTGATGGAATTTTCAATAGGGTATGGAGTAGGAGGGA